GAGAAACCATATAAGTGCGATCTGTGTGATGCCGTCTTTTCCTGTACGAGTTATGTGAAGACACACATGAGAACTCACACGGGAGAGAAACCGTACAAGTGCGATCTGTGTGATGCTACCTTTGCACAATCGGGTCACCTGAAGACACACATGAGAACTCACACGGGAGAGAAACCGTACAAGTGCGATCTGTGTGATTTTGCCTTTGCACAATCGGCTCACCTGAAGACACACATGAGAACTCACACGGGAGAGAAACCGTACAAGTGCGATCTGTGTGATGCTACCTTTGCACAATCGGCTCACCTGAAGACACACATGAGAACTCACACGGGAGAGAAACCATATAAGTGTGATTTGTGTGATGCCGCCACCTCAGCTTTGCGTGATTTGAAAAGACACATGCGAACTCACACGAGAGAGAAACCATACAAGTGCGATCTCTGTGATGCTACCTTCTCTCGTCTGGATAGTGCGAAGACACACCTGAGGACTCACACTCAAGAGAAACCATATAAGTGTGATCTGTGAGATACTACCTTCGCACGATCAGGTAATCTGAAGACACACATGATAACTCACACGGGAGAGAAAACGAAGAACAAAAAGGACGAAAGAAAAAATCATTTAAATGTAACATTTGAAGTGAAGAGTTAGCTCTGAAAACACCCTATAATCACACATAGCAATGCATAATAACTGTAGGGAGATGTCGTGAGTTCAGCAGAAAGTACATCTCGAACTGTCAGACTCACATGTAAGATCAGCTTGGCTCTATGAAGAAGCGAGCATACTGCACATATGTGAACTGGAGCAGAGTGGAATACCTACAAATGCAACTCAATTGTTAGTTTCTTTCCAAAGTGGAAGCTGGACTAGGAATTAATTGAGAAAGTCTTGAAACCTTTAAGGTATACTACCTGACTGTTTCATGGTTTTTGAGTGTTTTTAATCTACCTAACGGCATGTGGCCATGAAAACTTTTTGTAAATAACCGTACGTTTGAACACTGGTCTAATAAAACGCATTGCTGTATTATGATTCAGCAGCGCAGTTAGTATAATTATGAGTGAAAATATGCACGCGCGGTAGCTGGCGCAGGCTGTTATACGCGGGGCTATGGGTGGTAGGAAAGTGTACCTGCTCTTATATCTCACGAACGAGTTGAGTGACATTTCTAGAAATTCTACCAATTATAGACACATGTCGTCGCTATGATCTGTGCGAGTGTTGAGTACAATAACGCGCGGATAGTTTAATTAATGCGAAAATATGCACGCGCGGTATCGCGCATAGGCTGTTATACACGGGGCTATGGGTGGTAGGAATGTATACTTGCTCTGATATCTCGTGAACGAGTTGAGTGACATTTCTAGAAATTCTACCAATCATAGACAAATGTCGTAGCTATGATATACGTGAGTGTTGAGTTTAATAAAGCGCGGTTAGTTTAATTAGAGTGAAAATATGCAAAAAACATTGAAATGTAACATTTGAAGTGAATAGTTAGCTCTGAAAAACACCTATAATCACACATAGCAATGCATAATAACTGTAGGGAGATGTCGTAGAGATGTCAGCAGAAAGTACATCTCGAACTGTCAGACTCACATGTAAGATCAGCTTGGCTCTATGAAGAAGCGAGCATACTGCACACATGTGAACTGGAGCAGTGTGGAATATCTACAAATGCAACTCAATTGTTAGTTTCTTCCAAAGTGGAGACTGGACTAGGAATTAATTGAGAAAGTCGTGGAACTTTAAGGTATATTACTACTTGACTGTGTCATGTTTTTTGAGTGTTTTATATCTACCTAACATGTGGCCATGAAAACTTTTTTGTAAATAACCGTACGTTTGAACACTGGTCTAATAAAACGCATTGCCGCTATTATGATTCAGCAGCGCAGTTAGTATAATTGTGAGTGAAAACATGCACGCGCGGTAGCTGGCGCAGGCAATTATACACGGGCCATGGTTGTAGGAAACTGTACCTGCTCTTATATTACGCGAACGAGTTGTGACATTTCTAGAAATGCTACCTAGCTGTCATAGAACTATATCTTAGCTTATGATCTGTGCGAGTGTTGAGTACAATAATGCGTGGATAGTTTAATTAATGCGAAAATATGCACGAGCGGTATCGCGCATAAAGGTATTATACGCGGGCTATGGATGGTAGGAATGTATACTTGCTCTGATATCTTCGTGAACGAGTTGAGTGCGGTTTCTAGAATTCTACCAATCATAGAAACATGTCGTAGCTATGATATACGTGAGTGTTGAGTTTAATAAAGCGCCGGTTAGTTTAATTAGAGTGAAAATATGCAAAAATAATTGAAATGTAACATTTGAAGGGAAGAGTTAGCTCTGAAAACACCCTATAATCACACATGGCAATGCATAATAACTATAGGGAGATGTCGTACAGATGTCAGCAGAAAGTACATCTCGAGCTGTCGGACTCACATGTGAGATCAACTTGGAAACAAGCAGGCATACTGCACACGTGTGAACTGAAGCAGTGTGGAATACCTACGAATACAACTCTTGTACAGATTGTTACAGCCTCTTTCCAAAGTGGAAGCAGGACTAGGAATTTTAAATTGAGAAAGTCTTGAAACATTTAAGGTATACTACTTGACTGTGTCATGTTTTTTTGAGTTTTTAATCTACTTGACATGTGGCCATGAAAAGTCTTTGTAACTGTTTGTAAATACACGTACGTTTGAACACGGATCGAATAAAACGCATTGCCGTATTATGATTCATAATATCGATGTCTACCATCAATAATAACAAAATTCAAAGGGAAGTGTGTGAGAGAGGGTGCATTTGTGTGTCCGTGTGTGTGTGTGTGACAAAGCAACTATAATGACACAGTGAAGCCGTGCATGCACACAATTGGTGGAAGTAGGTTTATTATGACAGCCCACATGTCAACGGTAGCATATCGATGTAGTGCGGTCACTAGTGCTGAGATAATGGAAGTTTGACGACCGTTACATGGAAATGAAGCAAGTCGGAGAGTGATGTTGGCAACAAAAAGCTACACGTGGGAGGAGAGAGAAAGATGGCGCCCTGAGCCCCAGACGGACCTGGATGGGGCGTGGTGCATGGAGTCGGCGCATGGCTACACAAGGGAGGCGCACGCCGCAGTCGCGCGGGTTGGTGACAGTTCGGTCACACAGAGAGACAGTTAACATTCGGCGTCGCCGATCACAACCGCAGCGAGGTCTACCACTCTGCCGCCGAGGAGCTTCCAGCGACAAGACTGCCGCTTCTGCAGCCCAAGATTTCAAGCGACGATCAACCTAGCAAGTCGATCGTCGCATTCAGTCCGACCGCACCGACAGCACAGCCTTCAGCTCGGGAGCGTGACTGACGAGAGAGACTTGTGATCCGTTTCACAACATCCAGCTCGGGAGCGTGACTGACCAGGGAGATCTATGATCCGTTCGTAAAATTGAAGATTTGGTAGACAGCTGTCTTAGCCGTGTGTGCACACACTTTTATGTAATTAATGTAGTAATGTTTGATCAAAATTAAAATTTAAATGTCGGGTTCTGCAACACAGATATTGGTTATTATTAGTATTGACTACGATAGCCTAAAGTGATTTTTATCATGACATTGAACCGTATCGAACCTGAGGGAAGCTCATAGCTTCATAATACAACGAATGATGAGAATAAAGAAAGCTGTTACTGTCCGAAGCAAGTTCATATTATGCAAAATAGGAAACTAACCAGAAAAGTAGAGATTCTATAATACTAGGCCTGCGTGATAAATACTCCGTACACACGGGTAAAACTAACAGCTAATGTTCTAGTCTACCAGGTCTACGTGAGCAGAAGCATCTTGACTGGAGTATAGACGATCTACACCGTCGAAGAAAAGCGATTAGATAGGTACTGCTAATGTATCCTGCCTTGCCAACTTAGCGATTCCAGGCAGTCATATAGTATCATATTAACCATTTTACTGTGTTGGTCAGTGTTAATATCGCTTGGGACGTAATGGCCTACCTTACAGATAGTCATATACAATACTCTGTAGTGTTTGCGAGTGCGGTCATCTCGGCGCATTATCACTCAAATACAATTAATGACATTCAGTCGATCTTATGTGCATAAAAAAGTGAGAACGGGCCAGTAGTAGGTACGCAATAACAAATGTCGATCTCAATATGCCAATTTAGACGCCATGCCTTTCACATGTAATTCTAATGTATCCAGAGAAAGACGGAGAAGCGTCGCCTGAGAGGTGTTGATCCTTCCCGCTAAGCGCGAATCTTGCGCGCAGTTCCGCAGTAAGGCGCACGCGACCGCGGGAACCTCCTACGAAAGTATCACGCGCTGGCAGCTATTGATCCGTGCGCCAAATCGAAAGGCCGGCGCACGGATCAATTGCTGCCAGCGAACAGTCTCGAATTTTAGCGGGTCTAATTCACTAGCAAACACGCCATCACGCCATTGCGCAGGCCTAATAGCGATGTTCCACGTGACGTCATATAATTAGAGTGAAAATATGCAAAAAACATTGAAATGTAACATTTGAAGTGAATAGTTAGCTCTGAAAACACCCTATAATCACACATAGCAATGCATAATAACTGTAGGGAGATGTCGTAGAGATGTCAGCAGAAAGTACATCTCGAACTCTCAGACTCACATGTAAGATCAGTTTGGCTCTATGAAGAAGCGAGCATACTGCACACATGTGAACTGGAGCAGTGTGGAATATCTACAAATGCAACTCAATTGTTAGTTTCTTTCCAAAGTGGAAGCTGGACTAGGAATTAATTGAGAAAGTCGTGGAACCTTTAAGGTATATTACTACTTGACTGTGTCATGTTTTTTGAGTGTTTTTAATCTACCTAACATGTGGCCATGAAAACTTTTTGTAAATAACCGTACGTTTGAACACTGGTCTAATAAAACGCATTGCCGTATTATGATTTAGCAGCGCAGTTAGTATAATTGTGAGTGAAAACATGCACGCGCGGTAGCTGGCGCAGGCTATTATACGCGGGGCCATGGGTGGTAGGAAACTGTACCTGCTCTTATATTACGCGAACGAGTTGTCATAGAACTATATCTTAGCTATGATCTGTGCGAGTGTTGAGTACAATAATGCGTGGATAGTTTAAATAATGCGAAAATATGCACGAGCGGTATCGCGCATAAGGTATTATACGCGGGGCTATGGATGGTAGGAATGTATACTTGCTCTGATATCTCGTGAACGAGTTGAGTGCGGTTTCTAGAAATTCTACCAATCATAGAAACATGTCGTAGCTATGATATACGTGAGTGTTGAGTTTAATAAAGCGCGGTTAGTTTAATTAGAGTGAAAATATGCAAAAATAATTGAAATGTAACATTTGAAGGGAAGAGTTAGCTCTGAAAACACCCTATAATCACACAT